TGTGGTTAGGTTGTGGAAGTGCGTCGTTTCAGAAGTCTTTATAATTATAATTTTCATACAGAATTTTCATAATATCAAATATCAATTTACCATTTATTTGAAACTTGTTGATATTACATTGACGAAAGTAATATTATCAAATGTTTAATAGATTTCAATCTTAATATTTTTCAACTTTCTATAATGATACATGCATACAATATATTTTATTAAAGATTATATTCCATATATTAAAACGTTCTATACAAATATTTATGTATATAATATAAGTACGCAAAGATCACTAGCCTTTGTCAGTCCACTCCCGAAACTTGTACGTTCACAATTAGAGGATGAAAGAAGTCAGTTGTGTCCGGGTGTCGGAGGAACCCCGGGGAGTCCTCTCTAGTTTAGGTCGCGCCCGGATATTGAGAATGAGAACCGTGGAGTGTTTGTTTGCTTGATTGAGTTTTGCAAATTTGTAAATATAGGGTTAGGTAGGTAGGTAACTTTCTGGCGTGTGTGTGCTTAATCTAAGTAGGTAGAGCCAGGGCAGAGCTGTCACATTAGTTATTCGGGTAGGCGCGTTTTCGCGTGGTAGTTCTGTTCCTGTAGTTACGATTTCGAGAGTAGAAATCTTGCTGATTCAAACGGCGAGTGCTGTTTATTTCGGCTTTGGTTTCGACTTCTCGAATTGCACGACTTTTAAAGTCGTTTTTCCGCGCTCGCGGTCGTGATTAGGTCCCTTACGAAACGTTCGTTTCGCTCGAGATTCACCACGTATGCTCTTCCAACAATTCGTATATTATTGGAAGACTACGTATTGTACAAAATCTCGAGCTCCATATTAAGTAAGTTTCAGGCTTCGGCAGGACCGCCGAAGAAAGAAAAGGCTCTATATGAGCTGAAGAGGCCCTGACAAACTGTTTCAAGAGTGGGCTGCAACAAATGGCTTTTCATCTTCATCTTCGGATGAGGATGGAAAGTCATTCCTGTTACTACTTTTGTCACGTAAATCGTCTGTAGTTGTAGTTAGTTTCTTTTTCTGGCTAGCTCACGTATGCATGTACCTACCTGGTACATGACTGCACCATACATGCCAGCCATCAGGGCAACCCGCGGTTATGATACACATAGAGTTGCGAATATGCAATAATCGCGTTTGCTTATAGAGTTGCGAATTACTGTTTTTTGCGTTTCCTTTTCAGGGTAGTGTTGTGACTTGACATGATACGCGATTGGTTTTTTGCAAACTTAGGTACTGAATGTTTGCTTTAAAAATAGCGTTGCGAATTGTTGATAAATGCGATTGCTTGTAGAATTGTGAATTATTATTTTTCGCGCTTACTTTTCAGGGTAGCGTTGCGAACAATTACTATTCCCGTTGCTTTTTTACTCTTTTATACATATAATGGATATCAACCGCGTTTGTAATTTTCATGTTATAAATTAGCGTTGCGATTCTGATTCATCGTGCGATTTTTTATTTAGCGTTGCGATACTTTAAATGCCAAAATTCGACCCCAACTGTAATATTAGAAGTAGTTAGTTTATTTTGTGGTCAGTACGTGTGTATGTACATGTACCATTAGCCCCTGATTAAAATTAGAGTTGCGAATAATATACAAAGTTCGCGTTTGCTCGTAGAGTCCGAATTGATATTTATCGCGTTGATATGTTAGTGTTGCGACTAAACACGATTCGCGATTGTTTTTAATGCAAACTTAGGAACTGGGAGTTTGCTTTAAAAATAGTGTTGCGAAGTATTAGTAAACGCGATTGCTATTAGAGTTGCGAATTACTATTTTTCGAGTTTGCTTTTCAGAGTAGGGTTGCCAATTTCATACGTGATTGCTTTTATTGTTATTTGAGAATAATGTTGCAAATGAACTGATCAGTTTTAGCGCTGCGAATTAATATTTTGTGCGTTTATTTTTTAGGGTAGTGTTGCGAATAATCACCATTCGCGGGCCTTTTATTGTCATAAATCGCGTTTGGAATTTTTGTATTAAAAACTAGTGTTACGATCTTGACTTATTGCGTTTTTTATTGATTAGAGTTGCGATGCATTGCCCAAAAGCTGGCCAAAACGCTGGCCAGAGACACTGCTCCAGGATCATCACGACGCAGCTGGGATTCTAAAAAGCCTTGAATGGGTCAACATCATCATTAAAATTAGTGTTGCGTATGATTGAATATGGGTGTACGCGATTTAAATAATAAAGGAACCTTGTGTGGTTCATTTTACGAATAATAAGCACAAAGAATGACCCACTCACGGGTTGTTTCTTGAATTTAAGACGAGTGGACGTTTATTCTAGGTATCTGAAATATATCTTTTCTTTATATACATATTTGTCAATGAAAATACTGTTTGAAAGTACTGGTGTGAATAGACCAATTATTCCCTTTTTCATACCGTGTTCAAACCTGTAATTTTTATGAATATATTTTTATCATAGATTTGTGATGTATTTAAAAATGTTATATTATGATTAGTTGTATCGTAGATTGAATTCATGGATAAAATATATATATCTATATCACTAATTGTTCGTTATTAGAGTTGGTAATTTTTACGGGATTTAATAACCTTTGCGACCCAATTGTTATTTATAAATAGTAGTTTCTGTTTATAAATATTCTGTATTCTTTGCATAAATTAAAGTTTATTCGCGATCATTGTTTTAATTGGTGGAATATAGAATGCTTGCATCAAAAGGGTATGCAAATTGCAATTCGATATTTTATATTGAAAGTTAATTTCTGGGTAGAATCGACATTTTCGTTCGTTATTGCTTTTTCTGTACGAACCTAATTTAGTTTTCAATACAGTAGAATATAATTATTGCAATGTATACGTCTTGAAAAATTTTTTATTTGATAAATGAAACGAAAAATAAAATCTACGGTAACAAATGAATAAAATTTTCAATCTATTTCGTATTTATCTTAATACTGAGACGAATTTAATTTTTCATTTGATTCAAATTACGCAATATTTATGTTTTTAAACTTCTTAATATCAATTTTTACTCGTGGAAGCTTTAGTTCAAATATTAATTTCATAATATCACTTTTACTATGATCAATGACCATGAGTCTATCTTGAGGGTACATAATTATTTTTTTCTGTGTCCATTAATACACTTTCATTTCAGCTGTTAATCCTTTGAACAAGTTCTTGTTACAGGATATACAATCATTGAAAAATAAAATTAGAAATAGTAAATGGATCAGAACTTGATCGTTCTTAGAGAAATCTTAGAGTTTATGTTTCAGGAAAACAACGTGGGATTCACAAATGCACCAAGAAGACAATATCTTTTCATATTTCTTTGTTTTACATGAGTTATATTTATTGGATATGAGTTTTTGTTTCAGGGAAACATCGTGGGATTAACCAAGACACCAAGAAGCAAATATCTTGTCATATTTCTTTGTTTTATATCGGTTATATTTATTGTATATGAGTGTATGTTTTAAAAAAACATTGTGGAATTAATGAAGACACCAAGAAGAAAATATTTCCTCATATGTCTTCGTTTCTACATATTGCGTTAGAATATAGGTACAAATGTATATAGATTATGAAATAAAGAAGCGTTCTCCGGCGTTTTATTAAATACTACCGAAACGTGTGCGTACATTTAAGTGGAAATGATTAATATTAAGGTACATATTAGTATTCTAATATCTAAGGTCCATACGTGCAGTTGCACATTTCTGGTTGGATCTTCAGTGTCTTATTAGGCACTATCCTAATACAAGCATCCATTTAAGAAGGAACAATTAATAATAAAGTACATATTGGTACTTTAATAATCAGGATTCATACGTGCAGTTGCACATTCCAATTTCGTTTCTAGAAAACATGTGATAGATTATCTCACATGTATCAACAGTTTGTCAGATTTTTTATCTCTTTATCGGTCAAAGTTCGTACGTGCAGTTGCACATTCCAATTTCGTTTCGAGAAAACATGTGGTGGATCATCTCACATATATTGACATTTTGTTAGGTTTCTTATCTCTTGATTGGGCAGTTCTTTTAAGAACTCGACCTTTGTAGCTCATTTCTAACTTTTCGATAGCTTCTCTCTTAGATAGGTATTCGAATTCGATGCCAAAGGAAGGGTGGTTGGGGCGAGGCTAGGGCGGGTCTCCTTACGCAGCAACCTCCGCGCGGTGAGACCTGGGGATTATTATTTACTATGTAATTAATATAATTATTAATTACATAGCAAATAATATGAGCTAACGGCTGCGTTCTTCTTATAGTTTCACATACGTTCTTCGCCCCGGTGTGCGGTCTGATAACACCGAGTTTGAGTCGCAAATACGTTTTTGCCAAGTTATTTTTTAAATAAATGATGTATTACAATTTAAAATAAAGAATAGAGGATTTGCGGTGTACTTATCAATGAGGTACATCCTTACATATTTTAATAATCTTGAAATCTTTAAATAATCTTAATTGATTGGTTACTCCAATGAAATTAATCGATTGATGCTCAATTCTGGACTGTACAGCTTTCATTTTGTTCAAGAATGAGCTCATTTCTTGCCCGCCACGAGTCTCATTAGCAGCACCTCGCGGGCACGCTTTGAGCTCGACCGGCAATTTCATTTAGACAGTTCACGTGTTCAAACACATTCCATTAAAAAATACTAAAATTTCTATAATTTCATTTTCTGACTCACTTCCTTTTGTGTTGATTTCTAAATTTGTTGGTAACGTTGCGAGTGACGCGAAAATGGTAATGGGGCTCTAGAGCTCTAGAAAAATGGGGCGAAAAAATGCATTGGGTGAAAGGTCTACTCGTATACCTCGTCTGTGACATAAGGCAGGTGGTGTCCGTACATATCTCAGTGGTGTTAGGGTTTTATCGATGAGAGTCCTCTGGCGGAGTTAGGATAAAACTCTTATGTTTCTTTTCTTTTCCTCGTCTCATTTATTCTTTAGCGAAATCTACTTCTATCGTTATAGATGTTAATTGGCTTTAAAAATCTACATGGCGCTTGAAGTTTAATCAAATTAAGCGACGTTTCATGCGTGCCAACCTAGTGGCTCACGTTGGTAGCTTTGCAGTCGATGACGTCATTGTGAAGTTCTGAAATTGAAATCAATAAGTGGTGTGCAATGTTGTGTGCACATGACAGTCGGAGCGAAATGGTGATTATGTCAAAACATTCTGTCAGAGCGTCTTGTTTTTCCTTGATAGGAACGAAAGTGTGAATGTTTATAGAGAAGATGGCGCGGAACACGAAGAAAAAGCTGGCGATATTCGCCGGAACGTCGAAGTGCTTGATATATGTGAGTGATCTTTATTGTTCCTGCATATTTGCTTTGATATAATTATTTATTCTGTAACATTGAATGAATGGTAAATTTTTTTATTTTTAAATTCAAGGGTTACGTTATGAATTTATTCCCTCGAAACTTTCATTTTCGGTGTTTATGAATACGATCAATGTTATAGCAATTCGATTGGTCCATACTTTGCAAAAATGTATTTCGTCGTTTCACGATGATCGCTGATTATTCACGTTTAAATGGGATTTAATTTCTTTTTCCTTTTTTTAGTGGTTAATATAGCATAGGTTCGTAAAGCGACTTAAAACAATAACTTCTTTTAGGCAGAAGCAAAATATTGTGCCACTGAAATGCCTGGAGAAATAAAATACTACGAGTGAGTTTCTTATAAGTAAATATGTATATTCTATAAAGCGAGGATACAAGTGTTGTATTATGAAGTTGCGACATCACGATTAAGGACGTTCAATGCTTAAAGTCTTTTTTTTATACTATGTGCATTATCTAAGGTTGAAATTGTAAATACTTCCATTGTTTTCGTCGACGCGAAAAAAGGTTGTAAACGAATGCGTTCGAAAAATCTCTTTATTCTTCGCATCGGAGTTTTCGGAGTATTAAGGCCACTTAAATTTTTTTCAATAAATCTTATATTATTTTTTTAACGCGTATAAAAATTCGAAAGAAAAATTGGCAAATAAAACGTGTTTTGCATTACTCGATCAAGTTCGTGTCATTGTATTTGTTTATATATATGAATATAAAAAAATTATATACACCATGCATTGGAGAGAGTTTAAATGGCCTTGGAATGTCCAATATAGTAACCTTGGGACTAAAGTGATTATGTTATTTGCCCCTCCAATCACAAGTACTTTGACTCTCAAGCTGTTACCACATAAGAAGTAACAAAGATATTTTAAATTTCAATTTCAGGCGAGTTACCCTGTAAATTCTTAAATGTCGTTTTTATTAGGGGGACGAAAGCTTAAAAACATTCATCATTACGCGTAAAATTAATAAAAACTGTATAATGATTAGTTAAAAAAAAAAATATCAATGAGAAAATGTAAATATTCAATTCTGTATTGTAGGTGTTCTAGAACAGAATATTGTTGTGGTATTGGTTGTTGCGTATCACCCGGACTGCATTTCCATCACTTATGGTATTACTGGTAGGCACACCGAGACATTTTCCGTTTATTAAGCAACGGCAACGTAAAATTTATATACGATCCCCGTTCACAGGGTACTGGTTGTAATCATGTTCCTGGTATGTTCCGGTGGTGGTTGGTGGTATCGATATTGGTTGCAAGGAAGGTATAGAGCGGCTGCATCGGCCATACCTACCAGAACTTCCAACACTCGAGTACAAAATTCTCTTCGGGGGCCGACTTGTCAGGTTCAAAGGGCTCGCATTACTTACAATTCAGCGAGAAATACAGTGTTGCTGCATCGTATGTGGAAAGGCTAGTACATCTTTGTATCCGATTGCTCTCGTTTCACATACACACACACACACATAATGCGCGGCAGAAAACTTATTTGATATGTTGCACGGTAGAAAAGTGGGAGCGTGGGATTTTTGTATAATTGAAACGACGTGTTGCACTCGTAGGTCCTCAAAGGAACGGAGCAGTACCAGCTTACAACGGTAACGCGACTACATCAACGCATTACCAGAACATGAACGTCGTGTTGAACGACGCGAACTGTCCTTACTACCAATTGTATGGTCCACCTCCGAGCTACGAAACTGTGATAGCCCAAACACGCGGTAAGATATCGAATCCGGCCTCGCCGGAGTCGTCGGGCGCGCGAACCAACGCGCAATCGCCGAGCGTTCTGCCAAACACGAGCGTGCCACAATGTTTTTCGTACGCGTGTAATCCTTCCACGAGACTGAACGGCGGTCTGGACCAAAACACGCAATACCAGAATGGAAACGCGAGCCCACGGCAGCTCGATAATCCGGACGCTGTTCCGTTCACGCCTTTCCCGTACTGCGTCGCGGATGGACTGAACAGACAGAACGTGTGTGTTCCTTTCGACTACCAGGAACAACCTTTCGTTCCTGGTGACGGTTTTAGCCGTGTTTATCAAGGCACTTCGACGAACTATGTTCCGTATCCGATGGTGAACATTGATTGTACAGCGGGTAGTAGTAGAGACCAGAGCCTTTGGGAGACGAGCGATCGATCGATCTCCAAGGTCTACGGTAAAGCGGAGAAGAAAGGCGCGAGCAAAAGGGTCGAGAAAAGTTGGGGAGAGCAACGGCGAATCGCGAGGGAAACAGCGACAGGGGTTTCCTCGATTCTCGAGACGGACGAAAGTCACATGGACGATTCGAAATCTACCGTAAACTCGTCGGAAGATTTCGAGTCCGAGTTCACGAAGGGCCGTCGAGTGTACGGGGGGTCTTTAAAGGCGACCGGTAAATACGCCGGTAACGCGAAAGGCGATGAATACTCCGTCGAGAGGGCATTCTCGAAAACTTTGCCTCATTCTTGCGAGGGTCTTATCAATACAGAACCAGCGACAGCAATCACAAGCGCGTCCCGTAACGCGAGTCCTTTAGAAGACATGGCTAACGCTAGCGCAAGTTCTTTTCAATCAAATCCATCCAGCAATGTGATATTAGAGTCTTTCGTTTTCGACGGCGCGTCGTCCTCGACGGAGAACGTCGAGAACGCGGAGGAGCGTCGTTCCCGTCTCACGAATGCCAGTACAAATTCTGACCTTGAAAGTAACCATAGATTAGACAGATCGAAATCGTTGGACTGAGCGTCGGGCGAACACTGTCGCTGCGCAGCGCTTATTCTTACACGCGTCACCGCACGATTTCCCGCGTATATAATATGTATTTCGTGACGCAAGATCGTTAAGTTGAACAATCGTCGCGTCGATGACGTTCCATCCTGCAATCGACGTAACGAAACGAGCGCAGTATTATTTTTTTAAAGAGTCCTTCGAAGGGAAGCGTTTAACGTTGCGTACCTACATGCTTGTTGATCCTGCCTACCTTCAGATTTATTCACGCTGTCCTCGAGGCGAGTACTTCTTCGTGCCGTGTTAATATTAAAACAAGAATCCTTCTACTCGCAGCACGCTCGTCATACTGGATAGGGCGCGTCGCGCAAACATGGAACCAATAGTTTAACGCGTTTAAGTATTTAATGCAATACTTTTCTCGTACTTTTGATCGAGAAACGCCCTTGGGAACACTGAAACCCGTTTTATCATTTCCTGCGATCACTTATCGATCGCGGGTATAATCGATTATATCTGTCGACAGTCGGTCGCGTAGCACGAAGTTTCTGTTTATTAAAATGCGCGTAGTTCCGTTTGTATTTACCGTCGTTCTATCGCACACGATACTGCCAGAAATCTTTGGTCGAAAATAACTTGTTCGTCGGTCTGTTAGTTTCGGGCGATCGTCGCGCGTTCGGCTAACACGCGCTCAGTTACGTTTAACACAGTGTGTCCCTGTTTTTATCAATGGGCTCGACTAACTCCGGTTACGCACAAAACCGTCGATTGACGCCGTACGTTTTCATCGTCCTACATTTAATGCCGGTGAACGCCGGTTAACTCGTTAGCGCACCTTTTTCTAATCTTCGCACATTATCGCACTAACTTTACGAGCCACAGGAACTTTTTAATATAAAATATTCTAATTAATATGTGAGATTTTACCGTATTTGACCGTTTCGCGCGCGTCGTAATTTTCTATAACGAGAAGCATCAACTCGGTGTTCGACGGCGCTGAACAAATTGGTCTCCTCTCCTCTGGGGAGACCAGCGATCCGCTTTCAGTTTCATCGAGCACCGTTCTACATACGTTCCCCGTGTTTGCACGTTAATGCAATCTCGATATTTAAAAGTTAACTCCTTCGAAGCGCAGCAAGCCACCACTGACGTATTTAACTTTAAGATATGTAATTTATGAAAGAGTCTCTAGTTTGTTTACGGATTATAGTGTGTGATGGGGAAGGGGTGGGGAAGGGACGAGGGGCAGGGGGTATACTCTGTACGATAAAAAGCTGAATGAAACGAAGAGTGAATTACGTTCTAATCGATTTATGGGTCACGACAGCTTGCAAACGCATCTTCCTTTTCGCTCGAGTCTCCGTCGTTTTCCAGATCGTATCCACTTCACGATATTCAAAGGATCGCGCGAATCGACTTCGTCGGTGCTGTTGGAAAGGCGAATTGGATTTTGGTAAAGGTTCGTAACGCGAATCGCTGTTAATTTTCGCAGCACGAACGCGGTCGGGACGCGAGAATCGACGTGCCGTCGCGTTTGTAAGTTTCTGACTGGGTTTTCGATTGTAATAGCGGTCCAAAGAAACAGCGTACGTGCCAATAAAGTGTCCGTTAGATAAATTAATATTGGGTAGAGCTAGCCAGTCGATCTCGTGGAAACAACTCGATCTCGCAGCCAAGGTGTTGTTAGCTTAACAGAGAAAAAAAGAATTATACATCTATATATATCTATGTACGTGTGTGCGTGTATATTGTACCATGATGCGTGTACATGTATATACACATACGCGCATATATATATACATGCATACATAATTATTTTTTGTAACCGATCCTAAAAAGGGACGGGCCGTTTTGACTGTCCGTCTGAATAAATATTAACGCGTAAGGCAAATAACGAGCGTCGCTCCGAATCCATGGGGATCTTCTATAGATTCAGGAATACCACTATATTTTGTGTGCGTGCGTAGTGTCTGCGTGTTACATAGCTTTAACGATAAACTTAGTCCGAATGATCCTCTCACCGTAACGCGCAATCATATTCGTATTACCATACTGTAAGATATATTGTACCTAACGAGCGGAGGAGGGGTGTCTCTCTGAAATAAAGACGAAATATTTATTCACGTGAGGGTGTACGATGCAATCGAGCAAGGCTCCTTATTTTTATTCGCAACGTAATTTTATACTTTCCGGTTACACCAGGAAAACTCTTGTAGAAGTAGAGATTTCAAAATATCTGTAAATATTTTCATGCACGTTTCTACCTCGATCAATTCGTTCTATATTATTTTTGTAAACTTTGTATACATTTTATGAAGTTACATAGAGTTCGTGTCGAGTAGACGAGCACAAGACCGGAAAGTTACCGATACCGAGTCAAAATTTGTTGACCCATTTTATTTTTTCGTCGTTTCAGTTCCTCCTCTCCCGTTGCGGGCCACGTTATTATTGCACGGTAATACGTTACCGATCGCGCGAAATCATAGCAAGAATCGCGGATTAAAGGAGCAAGAATTTGGTACGCTTCGGTGTTATTGCGTGTCAGGCGATTAATCAGGAATAGGGCGATCGTTGCCAAGGTGTCGATAAACGAAGCGAAAGGCATGGGCTGCGATGGTAAACAGTGCTCGGCGAAGCACGAAGGGACGGTAAGAGATGGCAGGTGCTCTCAGGCCCGGAGGAAATCAATATGAAGAGGATTGGGTAGAGGGGTTGTAGGTGCGTGGAAGCATCCCCATGAGAGAGACAGCCACGCAAGGCTAGGAACGCCGATATAGCGGCAGAGCTGCGACAAAAACGAGCTGGAAGATGTCATAGTCTCGGTGAAGAACGTAGTTCCACGTAACACCTCTTTTTATCCTCGATATTCTACCCACCCTTCCCTCTTTCTGTCATCCTGAAACCCCCTTCGTCGTGGGAGCCAGTCTCGCTCCCGATATAGTGAATCAATAATTAAAGTGACAGTGCGGTGATTACGCGATCCGTGCCGGGCAAGATGTCGGTGAAGGTGAGTGTTTCGATTCAAAATACAAAATCAGGAAACGTTGCTAGACCTATTCGGGGTCGACGAATTTCATCCTGAGCCATTTTGTTAACTTCCCTGGGTCGGAGTATCGCGTACTCCGAACTATTTACGAGCTCCGCGCTTGTTATGTAACGTTAACGTTACGGAAGATTTATCAAAATGTGCGCCATGAATATAGAAATCGGTCGTACGGAGCTATCGCGTAGACCGTAATTGGTCGCGAGTTATCTTGTTCCCGAAACGCGTCGCGGTCGCATCGGTAGCTATTTAAACGCGAGGTTTCCGTTATCGATATCGATGCGGTTCCACACACGGAGCGAGTGTTTTCTTTTTTTCGGCTCGTTGTGGACTGCACGCGTCCCCACGAACCTCGAAACACGGCTCACCGAATAATAAACGTACACGCGATACGTGTTGCATTCGCGATGGGCGGGCAATCGCGCGATTACAAACTCGTGCGTAAATTTATCGTCCGAAATTCCACAGCTGGATACGATTTAATTAGAAACGTTAACGGTTCCAGGAGTACTGCGCGACGCTTTACGAAGAAACAATTTCCTCATTGAGGCTAGAGCCGCTCAACGAGACTGTTATTTTTAGAGCAAAAAGATAATTCCAAAGATAGACGTCACGGATTCCGTTAACGAACTGTTTTGCACTTATGTCAGCGCTTTTGCGCCCGATGACGCATTACGCCATGTATTTTCGTTTTACTTGAGCCGGTCGCCTTTGACGTAGCACTACGTTTCTTACGTCTAATCTTAGCAATGTTGGTTGCTATGCCATGCTAGACACGCTCCCGCAGCACGTGAGTCGTTTTTCTTTCAAGTTTCAGCCGATGCATTCATTTTTTGTTCGATCTAAACGATACTCTTTGTCCGATCCTCGCCAGACGCGTCACGGGACGGAACGGTATCGGAGCAGAAAGCGTAATTATATTAACGGCGCCACAAGTGTCCGTTTCCTGCCAGAACCGCCGCACACGAAACTGGCAGCTCCGATTGCATACGCGTGCGCGTGCTTACGCGGATTCGCGTGTCTGCACGCGTGCAGTCCGCCTGCAGTTCCGGCACGAGCCTCGCCACGCTTCTTTCACGGGCTCGCGAGTTTTCGTTCTTTCCTTCGGGTTTGCCTCGTCGTCGGTTAGTCAGTCGTCAACCACGTCAAACTAATTCATATCAAATACAAAGCTTCTCTAACTACTCAGCTCCATGCTGTCCGCCGTTGCAGAAATGCAACTTTGCGAAACATTCTTTAAATATTGTAAATAGACAATAATGGCGTTGATTTTCGCGTGTCATCTCTTTAATGTTTCTCAAACTAATTCATATCAAATACAAAGTTTCTCTAACTACAGGACTCTTTGCTATTCGCTGTTGCAAAAATGCAACTTTGCGAAACATTCTTTAAATATTGTAAATAAACGATACGCGCCAATGGGGTTGATTTTCGCGTACCATCTCTTTAATGTTTCTTGTTGCTTGTTTATGATAACGAAGTAAACAAAATCTGCGAAAGTAACACATACAGTGGGTGTTAAAAGTATTCGTACAGTGACTAATTACGACTAAAATGCTGAATAATAATGTTTATTAAACAATATTTTTTAAACAAACATGTTACATGTATTCTTCAAAGTTTGTAGAACAACAATATCAAATAAATAGAAAAAATATTTATATTGTTTATATAAATATCAAGATAAATGAACGCATAATAATTAATTGTACAGTTCTGTTGCCATTATCAAGTGTACAAGTAATTTAAACATTTGTAATAAAAACAACAAATAATTGTAAAATTAATATTTATAATTAGTATTTAGTAGGGTTTCCCTCTGATTTTATTATTGTGGCTAACCTTCTATGTATTGCATTAACTAAATTAGATGTGACTTTATTAATAATATTATTCCATTCGTTGAAAGCATTTTTTATGCCTGTTTTAGATGAAATTGTATATTTGCGAATTGCTTGTTCCAATAGGGTTAATATCTGGTATTTGTGGGGTTGTTTTTAAATGTGCTGGCGTATTATATGCAATCCACATTCTTGTATTATAAGCGGTATGCTTAGGATCATTATCTTGCATGAATTATTTTCAATACCCATTTTTTCAGCATTTGTATGAAGATGAGTTTTTAAAATATTAATATACATCTTGTGATCCATTATTCCGTCAATAAAATGCAATTCACTTACACCTTGCGACATTCATGTAGCCCCAAATACATATGGAATTCTGAGGTTTATACTCTTCATTTTCTTTCTCGACACTGTGAAGTGTCCATCGGAGCCAAAAATATTAAATTTGATTTCATCAGTGAAAATGATTCTCTTCCAAAATTTCATCGTTGTGTTTACGTAACTTTGTGCAACCTCCAATTTCTTCTTTCTATTCCTTTCATTCGCGTAATATTTTCTTCGAGCTGTTCTACCATGGTAACTTCGACTTCGCAAGCAATGACGTACAGTACTAGAAGATAAAGTGATGTTTAAATCACTTTTAAGCTCTTCAGCGAACTTTGTTACACTCATATTTGGATTGTGTTTAATAACTCGATTAATAGTACAACCACTACGTTCAGAAATTTTTCGAGGCTGTCCATTTCTCACACGATTTCACAATGTTTTTCGTAATCCATATCTATCAATGATTCCTTGTATCCTAAATCTTGGACTTTTTACAGTACGCGATATTTCGGATAAACTTTTGCACTGGTCATGCAAATTAATAATTACCTTTCGGTTTTTTACGGTAGTTTAATTACTTTTTTTACCCATTTTGTTACAGTAATGATAAATACTACTCTGTATGTCTATCCTACAATTCCAGACAACGTTTCTAAGCCATATGCCATAAATATACAATATGAATATTTCTTTTGTTTATTTGATATTGTCGTTCTACAGACTTTGGAGAATACATGTGACATGTTTGTTTAAAAAATATTGTTTAATAAAGATTATCATTCAGCATTTTAGTCGTAATTAATCACTGCATGAATATTTTTTACACCCACTGTATTACAATTTCCACAGCTCTTCAAAGACAGAGTTTCTTTAAGGGGGGATTCTCGTGTAACAGCGTTAAAATTTAAAGTTTTCTATTTATTTTTTTTCATAGGGACTTAAGAGTTCTATTGTAATAGATATTTAGGGACGTGAAGGGAGATCCGAAAACTATACGAAACTATTTTTTTTAGTACATTTTTTATTATCTTTTATTAAATCATAGTTACCATAGTTAGTGTACAGCGTAACATCCATCACAGAGATCGGAACGCAACAAACGAAAAATTTTCTTAACCCTTAAGTGGATTCTTGGGGCCGCTGCGACCCTCCGCAAGTTTAAACTAATAATTGTTTAATATATGTTAATATAGTTATTTGAAAATTCATATAATCCTCCATTAGTTCATTATTTTTTAAATGTTTTAAAGGAAAGTTGATTTCCATTTACCAATTCGGTAAAAATCAACATTGAGTAAAATAATTCAGGTGAGATTGAGAGTCCACTTAAGGGTTAAAGTTGGTTGGTTTTCACTGGTACTGAACTTATTTTGAACAAAAAATATGGAAAATTTAAAAAACTATAGCATATTGAAATTTTTTCTTTAACACATTGACTGCCAATGGTTTAACATTCTAAAATTGTTTACAAGACCAAAACTTTGATTTTAGACAATTGTAAACTATACAACTTAAAATTTGTCGTTGTACTTACTTTCGCAACCTCACTAAAATTTATTTTCTTTAAGATATAATTAATTGTTTTAATTCCACTGTTAAAAGTTCTGTCACTCATACAGATGGATGACGTGACAGTCAAAGTGTTAAAATGCTACAGTTTTTTCAATTTTCCATATTTTCTGTTAAAAATAGGTTCCGTATCAGTGGAAACCAATCAACTTTAAGAAAATTTTCCGTTTGTTGCGTTTTGATCTTTATGATGGATGTACACCAATTATAGTTAACATCGTCGAACAGGATTAAACGACTTAATTACTACTTAATAAAAGATAATAAAAAATGGACTAAAAACGCATTTTCGTATAGATTAAAGGTCTCTCTTCATGTTTCTAAAAGTTCAGTACAATAGAACTTAAAGTTCCATACCGACTGGAAAATTTTTCGACAAAATCAAAAAATTTGAAATCATCTAAAAAAAATTACTTTTAATTGCAGGGGTCAATTACAATCGTTTTTCATGAAGGAACATACCCCCGAAATCCTACGCACTTTCGAGAAAAAAATTCTTTACCAAAAATATAATTTCTGGCCAGAAATGGTTCCCCGAAATTTCATGCGTATCTTTAAAACATCATAACTCCTGAACGGATTGGACGATTTTAATGTTTAAAAAGGCAAACAACGCGTATTTTGATGGAGAATATGTAGAAATCGCAAAATTATTCGGAAAGTTGATCCTTGACCCTGCAAAACGAGAAAAACCCCATAAAAACGGGCCAATTTTCAAACGACCATAACTCCTACAATAGTGAATATATTTCAATGAAACTTTTTTTGAAGTAGAGCTCATGCGTACCTACAAAAAAGTATTAGACAACTTTCTGTAGGGTGTCAAACAAAATTACTAAAAATCAAAAACGAATTTTTAAGAAAAATCGACAGGGGGTGCTTAAATTTTTTGACGAAAAAAAAATTTCAAATCGTCCCAAAAATATTATTTTTAGTTACGGGGGTCAATTACAATTATTTTTGGTGAATAGACATACCCCCGAATTCCTACGCACTTTCGCGAAAAAAATTCGTGTAGGTGGACAAATTTTATTAATGATTTTTAGCAATAATTTTGTTAATAACTTTTTAACGAAGCTTCAATCAACAAATTGGTATTTTTGATTTTCGTCTTATTTTGGCCTCTAGAATTTCTCATTAAAATTTTTCCCAGGGGTGGCCGAACACCCTGTATAATTTTGAATTTTTTCCCCCATCCTCTAGTCCATTGTTTCTCGATCGTAGTGAACGGAATGGTTCGCCCAGCGTAAAGTTGAAGCATGTTTCGAATACTGGCCTCGTTATCGGCGCGTCGAAAAGCTTCCCTCTCGTTTGTAACACCGAGGCGTCGTGATAACGCGCGATCGCGAACGTCGCACGGAACGCGCTCGAAGGCAGTCTGACGTTCGGTCGCGTGGCGTGTAGTTTCGAGCGTCGGTTCCCAATTTCGTTCAGAGGTAGGAGCGAGAAAGGTTCTCTCTCGGTGGGATACGGGGACGCGATTTGTTGCGGTACCACGAGATTCGCGCGATCCGAGATGAGCGAGCGACCCTGGTATTCGCTCCTGCGTGACGGCGACTCGAGGGTACGTATTTTTAGTTTGGTCTAAAAGTGTGTCATCAACCGACAGTAATTTTCGACGACGAATTTTCCACTTTGCGGCGAACGCGAGAGGCCACGTTTCGCGTACGAGATTGTGTCGGGTCCGCGCAACGGTTTATCGGGGAACGTTTAGTATCGGGCATTGCGGCTCACCGACGCGACGCCCACGCGTATCTGCGTTATCGCGCGTAGAGTCGGTGAAAAATTCAGGCTTGGTGGACTCGGTTTTACGTAGAAATCGGGGGATGTCGACAGAGTCGATCGCGTCAAACGATATTCTGGATGAAAACATTATCGAGCATCGCTGTGGAGAAGCTGTTGTAATCTCGTTAACATTATCATTAAGATTCCATGTTTGGTACGCGGTCCCGTATGCTGTGGAAAAGATTTACGAGTTGCTAATTACATTATCTGGCATGCCTCTATTGTGCAACGGCGAGGCCATCCTTGTCGTTTCTTTTGCCGGTATCAAAGACCAAGGATACAATAATCGTCACTTTTTTCCCCCAGATGATGATGTACAAGCAGGCGGAGTTCGAGGACGAGGACAACAGCAGCATCGGGTCCGTAGCTTTGAACAGCGAGGGCATCAGCACGTCCGCGACGCACATTAGATACCGTTCGGTACGTTTCACGGTTTAAGCGTCGTTTAAGTCTAATCGTCGTTAAAAATTGTCGCTGCGTCGACGCGATTCCGTGACTTTTTCAATCGAATCGTCGTCGCGGCAAACGATTTCTCGCGTCGCAATTGGGGTTATTAGATTGCAAGCGATAGCGCGATCCTAGCAATAAGACGTAGCCAACTGTCCGTGAGTTTCTAACGCGCTTAAACGTTTCCTCGCCCGGTCGCGATACACCGTTTATTTGGTGCGCAGGGGACGTCGCTGTGGAGAGCGAGAAGTACGTTGGAGAGATGCCTTTTTATCATTTGCGCCGGCCTCTTGCTGATGGTTGTGCTGCTGTCTATTGTTATCAGCAGCAAGAACGGTTGGAACGAGGCGCAGATACTACACGTGACTTCTCACGGAGAAGGTATCGAACGTTTATCGTGTAATATCACGTACAAGTGTTCTCACGGAGCAGGGAAACCTTGATTTCAGACGGTACGTACTGCCTGACGGAGCACTGCGTGACCGTGGCGGCGTCCAGCATAAACAGTATAGATCGGTCCGTCGATCCGTGCGAAGATTTCTACGAGTACGCCTGTGGCGGATGGATAAAAAAGAACCCTATACCGGATGGGAACAGCATGTGGGGAACATTCAGCAAACTGGAGCAAGACAACCAGTTGGTGGTCAAGAATGTTCTTGGTAATTCGATTACAGGATTCTGGACTGGTTTATCTTAATCATAGAAGATTGGTAATTTTAATTTCAACGAGTGACTTTTGTTTGAAAAGAAAAACCAATGAGCGACATGAAGTCGAAGGCCGAGAAGAAGGCGAAGTATTACTTCTTGTCGTGTATGGACGCGAACGATACCATCGAGACGCTGGGCGCGAAGCCTATGCTCGACTTGCTGGACACCATCGGCGGTTGGAACGTTTCCGGAAAGTTCAATCTGAGCGCTTGGTCCTTGCAGAACAGCATGCAACTTCTGCAAAATGTTTACAACATGGACGGTTTGTTTACATGGGCGGTGAACGAAGACGATCGAAATAGTACCAGACACATTATACAAGTAAGACCGCGTCAATGGTTGTTCGTAATGCCATACTCTCGGATTATTTTGCCACGACGGTTTATTTTCTAGATCGATCAAGGTGGTCTGACCTTGCCCACCGCCGACAATTACTTGAACGTCACCGAAAACGGCAAAGTGTTGTTAGCATATTTGGATTACATGACAAAGGTATGCACGAGATACGAATAATCGCGTAGATTACCATGATCTAGTTACCGCGATCTAGCTTGATGAATTTACAGATCGGCGTGCTGCTAGGTGGCGAGAGGAACTCTACCAGGTCGCAGATGCGGGAAGTGATAGAGTTTGAGACGAAGCTGGCGAAGATTATGACTCCGCTGGAGGAACGCAGGGACGAAGAAAAGCTTTACAACTTGATGTCGTTGGACGAACTTCAACGTAAAGCACCCTTCGTGAGTGATACATCCATCGCGTCCGAAATTCTAATCGATCTATATCGTTCGACGATTGCCCTTGTCGTTCTAGATGTCCTGGGTGGATTATTTTCAAAACGCGACGCATCTCGTTAACAAGAAAATCAATAGCAAAACGATGATCGTCAACTTTGCGCCGGAATACTTCGTCAAGCTGTCGAAACTTGTGCTGGAGTATAACGAGACGAACTCTGGAAAAGTGTACGTTCGATCACGTATTTATCGATGAATCGCGCGACCTTGTTTCTCTACCTTTTCTTTCCATAGAGTACTGAATAACTATCTGGTTTGGCAAACGGTGAGGTCTCTGACGGGGTGCTTGTCGAAACCTTTCCGCGACGCTTACAAGGGCCTAAAGAAAGCCTTGATCGGCTCGGAGGGACGCGAGGAACAGTGGCGTTATTGCGTCAGCGATACGAACAACGTGATGGGCTTTGCCATCGGCGCGATGTTCGTCAGAGACGTCTTCCACGGGAAGAGCAAACCCATGGTTAGTTAAAATTCGTAAGGATCGCGGCATCTTCTAATGGAAATCGATTCCAGGCGGAGAAGATGATTGATCAAGTGCGCAGAGCTTTCACGAAGAATTTGAAGAATCTCGATTGGATGGACGCGGATACCAGAAGAGCCGCAGAGGAGAAAGCGAACGCTATTACTGACATGATCGGTTTTCCGAATTTCATTCTGAACCCCAGCGAGCTCGACAACCTTTACAAAGATTTGACCATCAAGCAGAACGAATATTTCCAGAATAATATACAAGTGAATAAGTACAATTTGCGGAAGAACTTGGAGAAGCTCGATCAACCCGTGAACAAGACCACTTGGATCATGACTCCACCCACTGTGAACGCTTACTACAGGCCTACCAAAAACCAGATGGTCTTCCCCGCTGGTATCCTGCAGAGTCCGTTCTACGATATGGAGAACCCTAATAGCTTAAATTTTGGCGGCATAGGAGTTGTCATGGGGCACGAGCTAACTCACGCATTCGATGATCAAGGTACGTTTCCCAGAGCTCCGTTTATAAACGAACATTGTTGTGTAATCGTTTGTCTTTTGTTTCGCGACGATCAGGAAGGGAATACGACTTACATGGGAACTTGAATCAATGGTGGAACAACGCTACGATAGAGAGATTCAAAAATAGAACGGAATGTTTCGTGGAACAGTACAACAGCTTCGAGGTACACGGTCGTCACGTGAACGGACGTCAGACTTTGGGTAATGCATTGATACGCGAACGTCCTAACATTGCAATCTATGTTATATTAATGGAAATTCCTTTGTAGGAGAAAATATTGCGGATAACGGAGGCCTTAAAGCAGCGTATCACGCGTACATCACGAAGCCTAAAAGCTACAAGGATCAGCTACCATTACCTGGTCTCAATCTAACGCATCGTCAGCTGTTTTTCTTGAATTTTGCTCAGGTAATTGCCGCCATTTCTGTGTACCTAAGATTCATCTGCTTGTACTATCTTTATTAAGATCGAATTTTTGGTTGATAGGTCTGGTGTTCGGCTGCAACGTCCGAGGCGATAGCTCTCCAAATCGAGAAAGATTCTCACTGTCCACCCAAGTACAGAGTGATCGGTCCGCTCTCAAACTTGCCGGAATTCGCCACAGAATTCAATTGTTCGAACGGCTCGCGAATGAATCCGGTACACAAGTGCGAGGTGTGGTAACGCGCCATATTTCGATCGCTTTGATTTCCGGTATTGTGAACGGAGTCGTCGAATGGCTCCGTTTTTATTAAATTCGTACGGTCATCGAATAACTCGATGGAGAACGAATTACTTAAATCGGCCGAGAGCCAATTCTACTTGTGGGTTAGCGATTCGAATCACGACGACGAATCTTTGGGAGATTTAGCGCAACGGCGACTGTCTTTACGAATCGCTGGTACCTCGTGTAAAACGTTGAGACGGTTTGAATTTATTTCGAACGATGTTACGTGAACGAGAGTATTGATTCCGCGACGCGATTTTACTCAGACCGGTCAAGTACTTCCATTTGTTGAATCCCTGATTGTTGATTTACCGAGAGCCGAGAAGATCGCAGCGAGCCAAACTTGCGACTCTGAATGTTTGCAACGAATATGCCAGAGATGCAATTTTATATACCGATCCAGGTCCGAAATTTCTGTGAGTCGGATGAGTCATGATGCAGATTTCGACGTCTCGATTTTATCGGTCGTCAGGATGGCCGCAATGTCAGTGTTAAGGCACTAGGACCATCGTATGAATTTATTGATCTTCTTATATAGCTACTTTAACGCGCCCAAAAGCGCCAGTTTTTCACACTAATCAATGTTCACTGTGGTTCATCGTGATCGATCGAGGCAATTATTTACCGAACCGACCGACATTGCACCGTAAGCGAACGTAAAGTCATTTTTCACTTTTATACTTGGAATACAGTATTATTCGATTGTCAGTCGATTCGAGTTCACGATACGAAAGATTTAAATAAAATTTTCGCGACAACTCGTGCTTCTGGAACGCGCGTACAACAACGTTGCGTCGAAGATCTATGAAACTGATATATCCAGGAGAACGTTTTAATCTTACCTACGCGACAGTATATTACTTTCTTATGTGCTAAGATACAAAGGATGAACTATTATTTAAGGTCGATTTCACCTTCTTTTGCTCGCATCAGGGAGATTCTTAAAGATCTCGATGAGCCATAGCGACCGTGAATCGTAAGCGTGGTGCCATAATTTTTGCAGGCAGGATCTAGCGTTAAGCTTAAGAAATTTAATTTTATAAACAAGCTACGGGCTAGTTACATAGAGCGGAGTTAGTACGTTAATATAGGGAGCGCGATTTCACGCACTACGGGTGTTGAGACTAAATATTTTTAAATGTGCTTAAGTGTATATTTTTGTTTTGTGTTTTGTGCAACTCAGTACTCGAGCGAATCAAAAAGTTTTGTTTTTTTATTCGTTAGAGATGTATATCGCGGATTGTATACAGTATAGGTATAAACTAAATTATTATCTAATTTAAGAAATTATTTGTACAAAATGGTGTTGATAGCAGGTTTCCACGCGTCCACCTTCGAGATCTTTCTAATCAAACGATTATAAAGGACAAGAAATGTGTAGTGAGTCTTTCGAGATAAGTACACTGTAACTGATACGTCTGTTAACGATATGCCGTGAATCTTTATTTTTGATTGTTTCAAAGTATTGTTAAGTATAGTTAATAGAAAGAAAGGCAACTGTGGCAGATGTTGTATACTTTAAGCGCGTACGATGTTCGAGTGGTTCTTTTTATACTCATTTGGTGACGAATGAGAACAAAATTGTCAGCAATCCCCTTTTCTGTGTATGTTACATTTATAAACGAGCAAAGCTAGTTATGTCAATAATTCGTCAATGCCGAAACGCGAGAGAATGATACAACAATTTTGTGCGTCGTGCGAGTAGTCCTTAGAGTGCGACAATTATTTCGATTGCGCCACTAATATTATACATCATTGGAGATATTTATTAATGACGCACGTGTAAATCAATAAAGAAAGAAATAAATAATGATAAAATGGTTTTATTCATTGCAGGAGAGAAGAGTGCGGTTAAGGAGTTTTATCTCTTTTCGTTTCTTTCGACGCTGCTCATAGAAAATGAGGAATAAAGAAGTTTGAGAAGGTGAGAAAGAATATGTAACGTTCTAATATGTTTCCATATTCCTATAAATCGCTTTCGCGTTCAATCAAATATAACGAGTGATATCATAGTTGAAGGACTGTTCTTTTTGTTTGTAGCTTGTACCAAATGTTTTCCAGAACGCAGATCAAAGCGCTCAGTATTGCCATGTAAATGAGTCCCAAGAGTAAGAAATGAATGTGAGCGTATTCCACCGGTTGAAACATTAACTGATCGAGTTCCGAGCTTTGTACACCTTTGGGCATCCATTTTTTTTCAAGGTACTTCAATAATCCCGCGGAGTGAAGTCGCATCAGGCTATCGAAGTGCAACAATTCTTATAAAATATTTCGCGATAATTCTATAGGAAATAATAGAGAACCCTTACTAGATGTCTATTAAGCGTCGATACTCTGAGAATCTAGCATGCAGAAACGCAACCTTCATACTCCAGTAATGATCGGGCGTTTGGACGATATGGCAGGCGCGTTGAATACGTCGATATATCGGCTGAAATACGTCCGGAACTTCCAAATAAACGAAGCCAGGCTTACAAAGTTGAGAATCCAACGCACTAGTGTCTCTCATGTCTGGACAGTAGTTATTGACTAAATTCTTCCATTCCTTCTTCACTTCTCCCCTCAGCGAACCGTTCTATAAAATATAATCGAACACCCGCTACCCTTGTATTCCGAGAGAAAGAGGAGATTTAATTAAAAAATGAAATACCTCCGTGAAGTGTATATAGGCACTGCTATCGTTTCTCACGCAAACAGAGTGACTTCGTTTTTGCAATGCATCTTCCAGGCTCGTTACTGGAACAGAGTTTCTACGTATCGCTAGATACGAGGTCAGCGTGCTGTTAAATCCGCTGGATAATAACATTCCCGTTATTAAATGCGATAGAATGATCAGTCGTAGGGGCCAAGAATATGGTATTCTCTGACATCCTAATCGAGCATACATTAAACGTTGTAATAACATTCGGATCGCACAATGTTCGAATTCTTTACCTTGACCGTTCAAGCTGCTCAGGACGACGATGAGATCGAAGGACGCCGATGAAAATTCGTAGTCGTTCTCTGCGGTATTTGACTGTGTAATTTTCTGCAGGTAACGCACTCCTGCGATGGTGGTGGCGGTGACCAGAACGTAGATCAGGATGCTCAGCCACAGTCCGCGACTGAAGACGTTCGTATACCACCGCTGTGACACTCTTGTTCCACCTGACTGGACAAACAGGGCGTATCTACGGAGACACATGGCGCGTGGTAATGCCAGTACACGAAGAGGAGTCGAGTGAGTATCCTTTGTAAACATTTCTGGATCAAAATATTCTACTTCAACTAAGTTGAGTGTTCCATGAAATATCGCGAAATAGCTAAGCGAATTCCAAGTTGTATGTTGTGACAAAAAGGAAGCGCGGCAAGAAGAGGTTCCATAATATAAATTAGAGATGGCTTACGAGATGGTAGTAATCGGAGTGCTGTAAGTGTAATAACCGGAGGTGTCGGAATAAATCACCGTGGCTACCAGTAGTGCGTGAGCCTGTCCATTCATCAGCGTCTGGCTGGCCGACGATCCCGCTTTTCGGTAAATCGTCCTGCATAATCGACGAAGAAACGCCTTTATTACGGTGCACGCACCAGCCCGCCACTATTTTCTCTTCCCTTCTGCCACCCTCGTTTTCCCCGTGATACTATACTTATACCTGTCTAGACGAATGAATCATGCGAGTATTTTGACCCACCGACGTGTGGGTGGTACACGGAAAATTGGTCAGATTCCTCGTAGGGTCTTTCGACGCTTACATATGTATATCATTCCGACGCTCACCGTGAAATTCGAGTGAATGAATCGACGTAACAGGTGTAAAAACTATTGGGTTGGTGCATGTGAAACGTCGCCTTTCGCAGGTTGAAATTTTGATATATTAAAGAGAATACAACGCACGATAAACGGGGAATTCGCGACGAAAAGCTTTCTGAAATATCGGTGCGTACTTAAAACCTAAGGTCCCTTCCAGGATAGTCCATATGTCTCCAAAAAACCCGGACACTTTGGTGTCGTTCGAGTCTCTCAAAATGTACGGATTCATCTAAAAATAAACAATAACATTTGTATCTTCGTAAAATTTGTATAAAGATTAAATTTTTAAGACTCTTACGATATCTGTAGCGACAACGATGGTTTTTCCTCGCAAATTGTTTGCCATTTTCACGCTACATACGGCAGTGCTGTTAAGCTTTACAGCTTGGATTTCTTCGAAATCCTGCGTAAAGGTATTCCATCGCCAAACACGTCCTGGTATCGTGTGAAAAATGTTCTTTTCTTCATGGTTCTTCAGAAATCGTATGCACGTTTCAGCGGCGGTTAACGCGAAGAGCGTCTACAAAGTTTACGCAGTATTAGAACAAACTTTTGGTCGGAATTTTTGTCTTCGCTTACCAGCAGATAAAGGACGTTCATGTTGCCACGAATGTTTCGATACTGAATATAAGTTCCGTTCGATTTTTACTTTTCGAATAATGACGTGACTAAGCACGTGTCTGTCGAATAACATAATTGACAAGTTTGACGGGAAAAAGACGAGTCGTTAATCCGAGAAAGGTCTTTGGGATTTTTATGTTAAACTAAGGAGTTGGTGAAAAGGGCAAAAGAAAACACTTATATTAACTCATATTAACTAATATATAACCCTTATTATATTCCTTAGTCATTTAATAATAATTAAATACAAATAACTCGATCGAAGTTGGAATCTTGATTACAGTTGGTAAAGTAAATTTCTCCTCGGATTATAGAGAATCACTGATCTCGATTTTATTATTTCCTAAAGGTGTCGAAAGTAATTGAAGAATTAAATAAAGGAAACAAATATTCGTGTAAATCAATGAAAGAAACAGTGTTTTATTATATCGAATATTGAATCGTTTTCTTAAATTTTATTACAAGATTTCGCAACTACACATGGTAAGACAGTTTCGAGATTGCGAGCGTCACCGGATGTCAATCTCCGCGGGTGGACCAATAGCGTCGCAGTGGTATGCGCGTCGGTAATGCGCCGTGAAAAAAGTCAAGCGAACAGTGCAACGTTTGCGCGCCTTCTTCGATCGATCCGAAGATCACAACCGGTGGATCGAAGTCGTAGAAATCCGTTCACATACGCCGAGAGAATGTTACGAAACAACGAAAGAAGGATATTTCGCGTACTCGAAGACTTCAACGCTCGAGCAATGTCTAAGACAGAAGCTTTCATCGTGAATCTTGCGCGGTGAGTAGAATTCTGAATGTGTATCGTTTCTATAACCTAAAATAGTCGTTGTCTCGTACCGACGAATTGATTTTCACGGAATTCGTCGGAACATATTTGCTGTTTAACAATATTTAAAGCTTGGAAAAGGTAAAAGAGTGTATTCATGAGATACGCGGTACAAAATGAAAGGTCTGAGAATTCAGTGGCGCCAACGGGTGCAGTCGTTTATCGATTTGAAAATTGCGTAACAGTTACGGAAATTACGCAGCGCCGGGCCGTCTAGATGGCATAGCGAATGGTGATTTTGGTTTCCAAAAGAGTTCGTAGAAAACGTGATTTGCGTGTCTGGGCCAATTACAGTGATGGGCCGACGCGAAGTGTTCGACGAAGAGCTCAACGGCGTCGAAAACGCGACGCATATCGCTGTCCGGCGCTTGGTAATTTCTAGTCGCAATGTCATTGCGAATGTCACGGCCGACGATGTCTCGCTACGAGTGTCACATCGCAATGGGTGCATATTCTTGCAGTTTGTTGCGTATCGGCCATAATCAGCGACATACGCACCCCTTAATCGAACGATCCTGCACGTTTGTTATTTCAATTAAAGTCTGCGAATACGTGTTTATTATGCAGGATGCCCCAAAAATAAATAGTAGTAATAATAATAATAATGTATTTATTACACTATAAAAATGGCACATGTATAGGGTAGTCTTTAATAGACGATGTTTAGCTATGCTGCTATCAAATCTAACATATAGTCAGAGTTGTATTTGTTTCATTTATGTCTCTAGACAGAAAATATTATTATGCTCCATCTACTATTATAAAAGACAAATTAATAACCGTAAATAAGAAAAAGTGATTTATGTTATTTGTATTATTATAAATTATATATTGATATAAAGTACAAGATTTTAGATAATCTAGTATATTCAACGTCTATCTTCATCGCGCGATTAATTTTTTGATGTGTCTAGTGCAAGAAAAAGAGGAAGCTTGAGAAGTTTTCGGTAAAACAATTCAAATTATTTCAAAGAACGAATATATAGACAATACTATTACGTAATCAGAAGATACTAATATATTAGGAAGAGATATTCGTATTAGAGAAATGTTCTAGTTTAGAACATTAAAAAATGGCGTCTTTTTTTAATGTTTTTTGTTCAAACGACATAAAAAATGTCATTTTACATTACGTTACAGTTTTAAAAGATGGATTTGCCTATTTTTGAAATTATATTGAGGGTTTATTTTCGACATTTCTTCCATTACTAATTATAATGTGTTCTAATATATGTACTGACCAAACTTGGTATTCGTTTCTTTTACTAAATGAAAATGCTTCTATGATAAAAAAATTATCTCCATTGTTTTTGAATTTTATGATATGGTACACATGCACATTGGTAGTTTCGAGCGTTGAAAATTACTTTTCAAGGTTCACAATTTGTTTCTCATGTAAGTAAATGATTTTATTCTTTTTTTGTAATTATCTTTAATTTATTAAGAATAATTTAAGACCACCCATTTGGTAATGTTTTATATGTATTAATACATTATGATCTAAAATGTTTCCGCGTGTTTGTCGTTATTCTTCTATTATTAATTTAAA